TATGTGGTCCTTCTTACGCCCCCCAACCAATAACCGAGCGGCAGCATTCTGGATCCTCTGGAGGCGGGCAATCCCAGATTGACCAAGTCCAGCGTACAGGGCATTACAGTAATCCATGCGCGATGTAACAAATGCATGGATCACTGTCTCCAAATGCTGCCGCGACAAATAGGGTTTTAATTTCACTAACTGCCTTAAATAGAAAAATCCAGATTTTACAACCGCATCTTAAATCATAAACTTCTGCATTGTGATAAGAATAGTGAAGGTTACACAATGTCAAGGCAAAAAAGCAACTGAATCAAAATGTAAAGAAAGAAGTGTAGAGGAGAAAGTAGGGCAGACACAGCAATACCTGTACAGCTATGGCACTAAAGGCACTTTGAGGGATTGTGGACAGCAGCAGACTGCCTGCTGTTTCACATCTCTTCATACCAGTCAACACGTGCATCTCTGTGTGTCATGGTACACTGTCTAGCTGTATTTAAAGTAGCATGTAAATACAGACAATTTTTGAATAGGTTCATGCTTCCACTATTCCTGCTTCCGATCTTTGATGAAAAAGGTTTTAACCAATCGTGCTAACCAGCCTGCTGTCCAGAAATATTTAAAAAAATAATCACCATGTTGGAGACGACACATAATCCATACAATCACAAATACAACCATACGACTTTTCACATACCAGGTGACGTGAAAAGCTTGTCTGCAGCCTTGTCTGTTGCAGGTCATGCAAGCTCCACAGGCAGCCTTGCTCTCCCTCCCATGGTCCTCACAAATATAACAGGTCTGGTGAAGCAGAAAGGATGAAGAGAACAGGTGATGAAGGGACAGAGGCACATCACTTATCACTGGTAGGTACTTGATCTGAAGATGAGCTAAGTTCACCGAAAATCACTGCTCTTTCACAAAAAACAAAACAAAAAAAAGATGCAGATTCATGTGGAAAGCCAAGTCAAATACTTAGTCTAGTGAGGTCCTGTTCCATCTGCTGCACCAGTGCTACCACAACTAATTTATATCTTCATGTTATTTGGCCATTAAAGTGATTGCAGCGCAGGAAAGATAAAACCCTTCTTAATCTGAGTCCAGCCACAGATATACAGATAGATACAGATATCATTTACAGTGAAATGATTAGGAAGTTCTGCTTGTCAAGACAGACCGTGCCTGCTGATTTGTACAGTAAAACTATTCAACACATGCTTTGGGGCACTGTGAATAAAGTTCTGTGTATTTGTTTGAGAGATTTCTTGTATCTTGATGCCGCTAAGACCCTTGCGCAAGCGCCTTGTAATTTCTTTCGATTTTTCACTGTTTCATAACATTCACCACTTTGCAGGTGAGGTTTTGAAAATAACTGTTTTTACAGATCACGGCTGCATGATAAGCACATCCTATATGAAAGCAATACGAGTCTTCACTGCCACACAAGAGCACACATCCACAAAATACACGCAAGCATACACGTGAGCAAAAACATTCACGCACACACACTGCTTTTGTACTTCTTACTCAGCTTTTCCCCAGCGAGCCGCTCCAACTGGTGGGGGTGCGGGGGGAGAAGAGGCCTAGCAACAGGTGCGGGACAAAGGAACAGCAGGCTCTTTACCTTATCACTTCAGCCCTCTCTGTTGCGCCTTGTCTCTCCCTTATCCTCGGCCTTCCTCTGCAGTACTCCCCACATACTGCTCAGCTCTCCATTCCCCTCACAGGATGTCAGCTATGTAATGAAAGGCCAGACAACTACACCGAGCGTTTAATAGGAAGAGGGGCTTCTCAAGTTTTCGCTGCCCATTGTAATGTTGTCTAGGAATGCAGACAGCAAAATCTATGTGAATGGCTCTGATGGGGGAAAGCTGCATGCAATTTATTGAAGCTGACACAGTAACATGAAACCAAGCACTAAAATGCTCACATGTGTACATTTATATGCAGGCGCGCGCACACACACACACACACGTACAGCATGTCAGCGACTGGCTGCTCAGACCAGTGAGTTCATGCATCACATATTGATTTCTTTGTACTGTGTATTGCTTTAAAATGCCTGCAGTGGTGTATCTTAGAAATATTTTCTACTCCTGCTACAGTCACTCTGCCAGCTATCAGACTATACAGGCAAGATGAGTAAAAGAAAACAAGGGCAGCTGATGTATGATAAAGCTATGCACAGTCACAAGAAAAAGTTTCATTGATTGGACTCCAGGTTTGCTAACACCTGACTCCAGTGGTGTTTTGTGACATCAAAAGCCTGGTGTTGCCATTACTTTTTCCACCATCACTGTGTATATAATAATGGGTGTGTTCAATAAAGACATGACTTTATGTTTTATCAGCTTAGAAATATTGTGTTTGTTGACATGTGTGACTTTGGTGAAGATCAGATCACATTTCATGACCAATTTAGACAGAAAAGCAGGAAACTGCAAATAATGCTGTTAGTTTTCCTTGTGACTGTGTAATGAACTGAAACTAGACTGTGGTCTAACAGTTTGCAATACAAAGTGAAAAAAAACAGACCAACACATTTCAGAAGCCTTTCTGAATATCTGGGTGTGACTGCATATATGATGAAGGATATGTTCAGTCTGCTTTTCCACAGTTGGTCTTATGCTGCATGATAAGGCTGTGCAGTCTCCTTAACTTTTTATTTCACACTCAGTGTGCAGCATGAAACGGTTTCATATGTTTGCAGTGTTCATTTAATGCACACAGAGATTACATGAAACCCAGACTTAAAGAGACTTTCCTGTGGACAGAGTCAGTTGCTTAGTACAAACTGACCAAGGGGTGTTTTCCTTATAGATTTTTTTTCAAAAATTCATTGTTTTAATCTATAAAATAGTTAAAAATGTGAAAACGATCCCTCACAGTTATCTCAGAGCTCAAGCTGATGTTTTCCAAAGTTTTTTCTGTCTGACCAACAGTCCAAAAGCCAAAGAGATTCCATTCTTAATGCTAAAAAATCCAAGAAGTAACCAGTGAATGTGTCATCTTTCATGACAAATGCAGTTTAAACTAATCACTTCAGCACTATTTGATACATCACAGTGGGTATTTTGTGATTGCATATGTAAATGTACTTTGATGTTCCCTCAATCTGCCTCATCTAGTTCTCCTTCAGCTGGAACTCACTCACATTCCCCAGAATGACTTGCAACAGCCTCCAGAGAGCAGGCGTGACCTTGCCACATTCTGCTCTGGGTTTGTACAGGACGTGTAGGTGGAGGGAGCAATGATGATGTGGAGCAAAACTGTTTTTCCTGTTAAGGGAGAAACCAGAGTTGTACTGCTTCCCACATGTCTTAAAACTGCGTCACATCATGGTTTTGTTGAAGGGAGAAGTTTTTGTGTGTGTGTGTTTTTTTTTTCTTTTATGGTGGAGCCATCTCTGAGGGATTGTTGACACTGATGGGAAAAATGCAGTACAAAATCCCTGCTCCATATTTTAGGGACTGACACTAAAACTGATGTTTAAAGTTCCAAGTTAATTTTAGCTATTTAGAGCTACAAATATGTATTTTATCTGCAGTGGAATTAGTGGTGTGATGCCAGTGGTGTTGGGTATTTTATTATTTTCAAAACAGGTGTAAATACCCAAGTACAAAAACCCAAACAATACTTTTTCCAGTATTTTACATGTAACATACTAACGGGTGACAAACGAAAGGACGACTCAACACCAAATGTCTCAGTGAGGTGCTGGGCCACCACGTGCCACTAGAAAAGCTTCAGTGCACCTTGGCATTGACTCTCCAAGTCTCTGAACTCTACTGGAGGGATGACCTCCATTCTTCCAAAAGAGATTCCATCATGTGGTGTTTTGACAATGGTGGTGGAGACGCTAACATGTTGCTCCAACATCTCCCGTAGCTGTTCAACTGGGTAGAGATCTGGTGACTGAAGGTCACATCATTCTCATACTCATCAAACCAATCAGTGACCCCTCGTGCACTCTGAACAACTCTGTATTGAGTAGGATGACCTATTTCATGGTATACGGTGGTATGAGAATTGATGGTTATCATACCATGCACATTTGCTTATTACCAGTATTGAAGGAAAAATCACAACGCATGTACACCTTTCTTCCCTGACTGGCTCCAGGCGCCACACACACACACGTGGTGGACAAATGGCAGAGAAAAGGAGGCTGACAGCCTAAGACAGCCATGCACCAAAAAGAAATTAAAATCAGCAGTGCAGGATTACTATGGATATCCATAAAACAAACACCTTCAAGAACACCATCCCTCCATGCGGATCAAAGTATGTGTCCAGTTTATAACTTTAATCCCAAACAATAAAATATGTGAATGTATAAATGTTGCTCATAAAATAGGCTATCAAAATAATTTTCCACATTGTCTGTTCTCTAAGAAAATGATTCACACCGATCCTGATCTGACATAAGAAACACACACACACACACACACACAAACTTTACCAGCTCACAAGTGTGTGTGTGTGTGTGTGTGAGAAGGTACAGACAGTACCAGTTTGGGTGTGCACCTTTTGTTGTTCAAAAATGATTAAAAACATGCAAAATCTGTGTGAAAGCCTGACGAGCTAAAAGACTGTAAACAAAGCAGAGAGCTCACACAGGGAGCTTGCAGTTCACTTTTGCTACCTCACACGCTGTTTAGAGCTTTTGAGGCAACACTTTTAACAAGTATCAGGATCTGATGAGGAAACATGTCACCCACTGCAACAGTGTGTTTCAACGATGTGTTTAACTGTTTATGAATAACAACAGAGGTCTATGGCACAGACAAATAAGATAATCCAGGTTGGAGACTGACAGTCATTAACTGTGAGCAGACACATTTCATTGCTGGTTTTAGTCTCTATGTGGGAATAGCTTAAAATACTGGAAAATGAGTGGCCCTATCACTTAAGAAAAATGTCCATGTTGTCTTAACACAAACAACTTCACAAGTTGCAGCTAGAGAAGAGTTAAAAATGAAAGTGACCGAGCTGTTTGTGAAAACTTGTGGTACTTGACAAGTATGAGCTAAATCGTGCATTTAAAGTGTTTTTAAAAGCAGTCATGTCTGATACCTGGCCATAGGTGCCACATTATCTCTGAGAGAGAATGTTAGGGGGCCACAGTGGTGAAGGCACATGCCTAATACCAACCAACATCCCTGGACTTACTGTTCCATGTCATAATCCTTCCCCCTGCTCTAACATCCAGCCTGCCTCTCTACCATCTATCCAATACATATATAAAAAAAAGTCTTCCAAAATAAATAAATAAAAACATTAAAAATGGCTTTTTGATACTTTATCTGAGCACACTGACTGTGATGAGATCCTGTAGACAAATAACTGTTCATGTAACAGTTGCTGCATGTTTTAGTGCAAACCTTTCCAGTCAACAATGTGTATTACAGTACCTTGATGTATCTCTCATGCGGGACATACTGCAGGATGATGGGCTCCATGGTGAGGACATTGGCAAACTGCACTTCAGGGATGTAGAGTGCACATACAACGTGAGCCCAGCCTGATGGAAGAGGTTGGCAGCGGATCAGTGGCATGACAAGGCACCTTATGAATTAATTGGAAATCTGCTGCTTCTATTTTATTTCAGGCTTGGAGAGAGTCCTGCTGGTGCATACACCCAGTGTGTAACTCAGGCAAGAGACCAGGAAACAGCAGGGGATTAGATTTACCTCCGCTGTCGGTCCTCTTGAGGGCGCCATCTTTGTGGGGGCACAGCTCACACCTCTGGGGCAGGACAGGAGGGAGGAGAAGTTGTTGTGAGGGTGACATGAATCATAACAGGGATAGCA